CGCCTCCCATGGAGGAACTCTTCCCGGCAGAGACTTCAGAAGCCGCCGTGGACTTCCGAAGCCGCTTCGGACGCTCAGTGCAGCGCCCTTCACGCTGCCCCGGCTCCGCACCCCGGGGCTGAGCCCGTCCCACCTTAGCCGTGGGTGCCGTGCTGCCCGCTCTCCGATTCCCTGTTCTCGGCGCTCTCCGCTCCCCAGAGCCCCTGAGAATAAGCAGGGAGAGCCGGCCGCCCTTCTTAAAGCAGCCCGGACGGGGACGGGAGCCCGAAGAGGTTTCCTAGTGAGCCCGCTCGGAGCGCTGGGTGAGTTCGGAGCCGGTGGTGAGGAGGTTTACACTGGAAAGGCGATTGTTGGCCCCTAATCTTCAATTACAGGGGTTTAAAAATAGTATTAGAGGGGCAATCTGTTCGGCAACTTCTTGGAAGAAATAATTGTTGATTTAGATAAGCACTGATCCCCTCAGTGTTTGATGAAGACGTTAATTTATGACTGTCTGGCAGTTTATGGCTGTCATTAGACGTTCAGCTTTGTCTCTGTTCGAAGTGCGTCTTTCTCTTTATTTTCAAACGGTAAGCAAACGGTTGTGTTGGAGCTAAACCGCATCACTTCCCTACGGCATCTCAAATTATCCACAGATCATAGTTCTTACACGCCCGTATATGAATTTAAAAACACAGCAGTAAAGTGCTCGAAACAGACCATCAATTCACTTCTTCTTTTATGACACGTTTAGGAGTCGGGTTGCGAGGACAAGGGCAGCGGGGGAAGGAATTAACCCCTCCGAGGCTGCGGGACGGCCGCGTCGGGGCAGAGTCCGAACGGCCCCGGGGGGGTGGCGGAGCGCGGGGGAGGGAAGGGGAATGCGAGGACACGGGGCTGATGGGGACGCGGGGACACAGGGATGATGGGACGACGTGCGGCTGCCAGCGGCTCTGAGCTCGGCCCTTTAGCTGTGCTGCCCCAAGTTTTATCCTGCCCCGGCCGGGAGCGGCTCTGCTGGGAACCTCGGTCCCCTTCTGGCCTAAGGGAACGCAAGCGACGCTGCAGGGAGAGCTGTGGGGTCCCGAGTCATTGAATTCGCACCCCCAACATCCTCTCTTCGGCACAAGAACCCGAGTATTAATTGCCGCAAAGTTTCCGAACACGTGGATAATTTACTTCGACTGCTGCGTTTTAATTAAAAGCAAACTTATTTATGTTTCCGATGTTTATATTGCGTGATTTAATTACGTTTAGAGTTAGCGTCGCACTTCCCTCCCCTCCCCCCTTCTTCCACTCTAAATCACATTTTCATTAAAGGTTTTAATAAGAAAACTCACTTGACCACTATCCGTTATGCGGTCCCTCCATGCACACAAGTTCACTTACCCATTCATTTAGTCACTTACTCATTCCAGCAGATCCGCCGCCACTGCTGCTAGCAGGGATGTGAACACTCATAATTATTTGTCAAAGTCTGGAAAGTGTATTATCCCTTCTTCTAGTGGTAATTAGTTACCATAGCATCTAATACGTAAATGTGCCCAGAGCACACCATTAACAGTTAAGCAGAGGATTCAATTTAACACATGATTATATCTTTCATAAGTCATCACATTAGGAAAGCCAATGTCACTCATACTGGGACCATTTCGGGCTCAGAGCCGGGGTAAGGGCCGGGGAAGGGTCCGAGGTGGGGAGATGCGGCGCGGTGCGGCTGCGGACATGGGGGGCTTTTTGGAAAGGACCACGTTTCTTTCCATCAGCCAGGCGTTAGGCGGGGCGGGGGAGGCTCTGCCAGCGCCGCCCGGAGACGCTGCAGGAGGACACAGGGGGTGGCAGCACCCCTCACCACGCTGCCCCCTCGGAAAAAGCCTGGAGGTGACAAGCGAGCTCCCAGAGCCGGCCTGGACGGCAAAGAGTTGGCGTTACTCTTCCCTACCTCCTCCTCCTCCCCGCCGGCGGAGCCAGGATTGGGGAGCGGGAGGGAGAAACCTCGGCCACGTCCATCTGCAGGAAAGGAAGAAGAGAGGTTAACGGAGCGGCGGTGAGAGCCGCTCACCCCTCCGGCCCCGATGGGGAGCGGCAGCCCACGCAGTCCCCGCAGCCCCCGGCCGAGCTCGGGAGTTCCTCCTCCGGCACCCGCCGCTCCGACGTGACCTCGTCGAGGGGACAGCCACCGGCATCCCTCTAGGAAACCAGAGGTACCGAGTGCTGAGTCTTGAGGCAAACACCTCCCCGATGCTGTGAGCACACACACGCACCACGCCAAGCTGGTGGCGGTGGTTAATCCCTAATCAGAATGATGGACAGCAGAGACGGAACAATACAAACTAATGGCTGTGTTGCTGATCACTTTACCCCTTGATTAAAGACACCCAATTATGGCGCAGAACAGTGTCGTAATTATGTTCCTTAATCACATCCAGGAGGTTTAATTGCCTTAACGATGTGTTTCATTAAATGAATTTAGGTATTATAGTCGACAGTTTTCATACACAGTTGTTTTCAAATTAACATAATATTAGACATCGTCATGGAAATTGTTTTAATAATCATAATTAGACGCACCCAGCCTTTGTCTCGCAAATGCTGAGAGACGCTGCTCCCGGCGCCCGGGGGCTGAGCTGCCCACCCTCTCCGGGCCGCCTTCCCACCGCTCCGTGGCACTTTACAGTTATGTTTCCTGAAAAGTTACAGGTTCTGATTAATCTTTTCTGATGGGAAGTGGAGCGGAAAAGATTGATCCCCTTCTCCTCCCTCCCCCCGTGCGGGGCTGCCGACGGGAGCGGCGGTATGGAGGGCACGGGCCTGGGCGGGGAGGCGGCCCCAAAACTCGGGGACGGAGAGAAGGGGGTCTGGAGTGGCAGTCGGGGCCCAATAGGAGAGGAAGACCTCCGAGCAGGAGCCCCTCGTCGGAGGCAACCGAGGGCTGCGGGGGGGGAGGCACTGGGGAGCAAAGGAAAGGAGTCATCCCTCCACATACCCTTTCCCCCCACCCCCCTCGTCCGCCTCCTTAAACCTGGAGGTAAATGTTTAACACAAAGCACAGCGCGATTGCAAACGTTTGTTCAAAATATTTTAATAAAGATTCTTTCCGACATAGGTACACATACAAACGATCGTACATTGCTGTCATAATCTGATTGACCTATTTAATATATATCACTCTTTACACATCCGTGACCTGCCAACAGATCCATCACGGCTCCCATTGCGCCATCCAATCTGACAGTCCGAATTTATATTATCTGCGAGGAGAGGAAAATAGCAGGACTCGGGGTTGGAAAGAAAAGAAAAGAATAATTACAAAATCCGGATTTACAACTGGCAGAGAGGCAGCACCCAGCCATGCAAACTCAAGCGGAAGGCTCACTTTGGGAAAATAGCTCCTTCTTGTTCTTCATCTTTCTTGGCGGGGGGGGGGGGGGGGGGGGGG